ACGCATATTTCGAACAACCGCATATTTCGAAAACACCGCATATTTCGGAACAACCCGCATATTTCGAACAACCGCAATTTCGAAACAACCGCATTATTTCGAACAACCGCATATTTCGAACAACCGCCAATATTTCGAACAACCGCATATTTCGAACAACGGCATATTTCGAACACCGCATATTCAAACAACCGCATATTTCGAACAACCGCATATTTCGAACAAACCGCATATTTCGAACAACCGCATATTTCGAACGAACCGCATATTTCGAACAACCCGCATATTTCGAAACAACCGCATATTTCGAACAACCGCATATTTCCGAACACCGCATATTTTCGAACAACCGCATATTCCGAACACCCGATATTTCGAACAACCCATATTTCGAACAACCGCATATTTCGAACAACCGCATATTCGAACAACCGCATATTTCGAACAACCGCATATTCGAACTTACGCATATTTCGAAACTACGCATATTTCGAAAACTTACGCATATTCGAACTACGCATAATTTCGAAACTTACGCAATATTTCGAACTTACGCATATGTCGAACTTACGCATATCTTCGAAACTTACGACATATTTCGAACTTACGCATACTTCGACAACTTACGCATACTTTTCGAACTTACGCAATATTTCGAACTACACGCATATTTCGAACTTACGCATTATTTCGAACTTACGCATATTTCGAACTTACGCATAATTTCGAACTTACCATATTCGAAAAACTTACGCATATTTCACTTGACCATATTCACTTACCATATTCGACTTACGCCATATTTCAACTTACGCATATTTCGAACTTACGCATATTTCGAACTTACGCATATTTCGAACTTACGCATATTTCCGACTTATTCGAACTTACGCATATTTCGAACTTACGCATATTTCAAACTTACGCATATTTCGAACTTACGCATATTTCCAACACTTACGCATATTTCGAACTTACGCATATTTCGAACTTACGCAATTATTTCGAACTTACGCATTCGATTTCGAACTTACGCATATTTCGGAACTTACCATATTTCCACTTACGCATATTTCGAACATTACGCATAATTCGAACTTTACGCATATTTCGAAACTTACGCATATTTCGAACTTACGCATATTTTCGAACTTACGCATATTTCGAACTTACGCATATTTCGAACTTACGCATATTTCGAACTTACGCATATTTCGAACTTCCCCATCTTTCAAACTACCGCATATTTCGAAATATCGCGTATTTCGAATTATTGCGTATTTCGAATTATTGCATATATCGAACTATAGCATATATCGAACTAGCGCATATATCGAACTAGCGCATATATCGAACTATTGCATATATTGAACTATCGCATATGTCGAATTTTCAAATATTTTGAATTATCGATTACATCGAAGTACTTCATATTTCGAACTACGAAATATTGCATATTTTGATTTATCGCATATTGCTAATAATTTGCATAATTCGTATTCGTATATAACGTATTTCGAATTATCGCACAATTCAAATTATAACATTTTGTGTTATCGCATATTTTCAATTATCTCATATTTCAAATTATCACATATTTATAAATACACTTTTTAATATTGCGTATCTCGAACTAATGCCTATATCGAATTTCACTTAGTATTTTGTGGCGTTGCGTGCGCAGGAGGCGGAGGAGGCGCTGCGAGGCGCCGCGAAGGCGCGCGCGGCGTCGTCGGGCGCGGCGTCGGTGGCGTCGAGCGCGGAGGTGCGGCCGGTGCCGCGCGTCGTGGCGACGGTGGGCCGCGACGGCCAGGTGACGCCCGTGCGCGACAGCGGCGTTCTCGAGCCGCCGGACGCCGCTGCGGCAGCTGTTGGCGACGGTGGCGCCGCCCAGCGGGCGGCCAGGTGGGCTCTGCGCCAGGAGGAGATGGACGCCGTCGAGGTACGTCTTGCACGCAGGATTCAGATTTTATTATTGCATTTTATTACTTGAAACCTTTCATCGTTGTCATCGTGTTTATTTTTTCTAAAAAGTTGTCAACATTTCCTTTGTCGTCGTCAACATTTCCTTTCCTTTCACGTCGTCCACATTTCCTTTCCTTTCACGTCATCCACATTTCCTTTCACGTCGTCCACATTTCCTTTCCTTTCACGTCGTCGACATTTCCTTTCCTTTCACATCGTCGACATTTCCTTTCCGTTCACGTCGTCGACATTTCCTTTCCGTTCACGTCGTCGACATTTTTTTTCCTTTCACGTCGTCGACATTTCCTTTCCTTCACGTCGTCGACATTTCCTTTCCTTCACGTCGTCGACATTTCCTTTCCTTTCACGTCGTCCACATTTCCTTTCCTTTCACGTCGTTGACATTTCCTTTCCTTTCACGACGTTGACATTTCCTTTCCTTTCACGTCGTCCACATTTCCTTTGTCGTCGTCCACATTTCCTTTGTCGTCGTCCACATTTCCTTTGTCGTCGTCAACATTTCCTTTGTCGTCGTCAACATTTCCTTTGTCGTCGTCAACATTTCCTTTGTCGTCAACATTTCCTTTCATTTCACAACGTCAACATTTCCTCCCCTTTAACGTTGTTAACATTTCCTTTGTCGTCGTCAAACTTTCCTTTGTAGGCTACATTTCCTTGTATTGTTTCGACAAATGATGACGACCACTACAGGGTTGCAAAAGTAAGTTAATAGCCTTCATATATTTTTGTAACAAATTTTACCACCCATGGTCAAATATTGCCGTTGCACGAAAATATCGTATAATGAAAAAAAATGTACAAGGTAGAATTAGGTATTATTGACAACTAGAATACAAATAAAAAAATATATCTGAATCCATATAACGCACATTTTGGTTTATAAACGGGCACTTTGAGCAAATTAAAGCCATGTTTTTTGCAGTCAAAACAGCGCCCTCTGGAAAACACAGTATTCTTGCATTACGTTTGGCTCTGGTTACGCACAGTTACCCCCGTCACTCGTATGTTTTGACTTCAAAGCACATGGCGGCCACTAGTTCGGCGAACCGCCACCAAGAGCGCTGAAACTATAGGGATAGTCACTCTATGTAGTGTATTTGGTTACGGACGGTTACACCGCCACTCGTATGTTTTGACTTCAAAAAACATGGCGGCCACTAGTTCGACGAACCGCCATCAAGAGCGCTGAAATTATGGTGATAGCCACTTTATGTAGTATTTTGGTTACGAAGGGGTACACGGTCACTGGAATGGTTTGACTTCAAAAACATGGCCGCCACTAGTTCAACGAGCCGCCACCAAGAGCGCTGAAACTATAGGATAGCCACTCTATGTAGTACATTTGGTTACGGACGGTTACATCGCCACTCGTATGTTTTGACTTCAAAACATATGGTGGCCTCTAGTTCGTCGAGCCTCCACCATGAGCGCTGAAACTATAGGGGTAGCCACTCTATGTAGTATATTTGGTTACGGACGGTTACACCGCCACTCGTATGTTTTGACTTCAAAAAACATGGCTGCCACTAGTTCGGCGAGCCTCCGCCAAGAGCCAGCCACTCTATGTAGTATAATCTACCTCTTTGATCGTTATCTCTTCCCATTCCATAAATCGAAGTACACCGCTTGCTCTTGTTCTCAGATTCGGCCGACGTCGCGGCGTCCGATCGGCGCCGGGCGCATGGTGCTGCCGCCTCTGCCCCCGGGCCACCGGGAGTCGCTGCAACACGTGACCCTGGCGGACCTCCCCACGCCGCCCGCAGCCTCTCGCCCCACCGACTTCTGACGCCCCCTCGCCCCTCCGCCCGCGCCCGCCGCGCCCCCGCCCCGCCGCCCCCCGCAGCTGCGACCGCCTCGCCCGAAATCCCGTTTGCTCCAGATGGGGTGTGCGTGGGGCTGGCGAGGGTTTTCGACGGGAGGTTTTCTGCCACTGGTTCAACCCTTCCGTCATCCCGCGCCTCAGCGACATTATCACCAGCTCTCGCTTCGTTCCATCCCCAGGCCGTTCAGGCTTGGGAGAGGCGCTGGATCGTGGTCGCACGGTGGAAGAACCGCGGTGTTTTTGCGAGTGATTGTGCATGCTCTCTCCGTCAATAGACGCACTGCCAGGATTTTGCATTCCGTTGGGGAATCGCTACACTCTCTCAGGCCTCTCAAACCTTGAGCAACCGTATTGTGCAGCAAGCGTACATCAAAGAAAAATCAGACTTCTTACTTTGGCCAATAAGAGGTTTCCTTTCCATCTTGTCGCTGGTTCAATTCTTCGGTTTTCATGGGGAGGTTTTCTGCCGCTGGTTCAACTCTTTCGACATCCTACACCGCAACGTCATTATCACCAGCTCTCGCTTCGTTTGAACCCCTAGGCTTGGAAGAAGGACTAGATCACGAGCCCTGCCATGGTTGCACAGTGTAAGAGACATGTTGTTTGTGTGAGTGATTGTGCATGCTCTCTCCGTCAATAGACGCACTGCCAGTATTTTGCATTCGGTTGGAGAATCGCTATACTCTGTCAGGCCTCTCATATCTTGAGCAACCGTATTGCACAGCAAGCGTACATCAAAGCAGAAAAATCAAACTTTCGACTGCGTCAAATACGTTTTTCCATTACTTCCATCCCGTTACTTTCGTTTAATACTTCTACATCGCCTACCCTCTTGCTTTTATTTTCATCTCTTCCTCAATTTATTGGCCATACATCTAGGACGCTTAAGTTTAGTACAGTGATTGGCCCTCGAACTGGACATTGGGTTACTTGTCGATAGAGTGGTTGCTATTGAATTTATTTACTCGTTTCCAACTCTCGCCGTCAACAAACCCGGTTCCAATACTTTGCAATCGTTAAGATTCATTATACTCTCCCCGTCACATAGAGCAACAACTCGTACAAATCCCACACCGCTAATTGCAAACGCCAGCAGTTCTGTGACAAATCATTTCACTTTCTAGCAGTTGAGCAATATAAAAATTCCAACTTTCACCAGCTAATTTATACATTTAGAATACCAACAACAACATGATTAAATGGAGACAAAAATGAGTAATTTGCGATGATTTAGTTTCCTAGGCACATTTACGTTTCTTGAAACTGTTTTTCTGACAAAATGTATTGCGTTCTGAAGGCCGTCGCAGTGTAATGGTCTAAAAGTTGGCAACATTAATGAAGCCATCGCGACCTATGGACTGCCAAGATCTCATGGAAACCACTGACACAATTTCTATTATTGTCATAAGTCCATATAACATTTCCAGCACTACACTTTAAAAACGTGCTTGGGAATATAATGTAATAAATTTTGCTGGCAAATTACTAACGCTCATAATTTACACTGCCTTTATATTAATATTGAAATAACACATATAGATATCATTAACCTTTTAGAACATACTGCAACTGTTCCCGTTGAATGGGACACAAAATATTACATGTCAAGGTTGTAGTTTTCCGAAAAGGTCATATCTGCCAGTCGAGCTAAGAGAAATCCCTTCCACTCGGCATTTGTAGTTTATGACGTGAAAATAAAATGTTTGTATTTTTTTCTACAGGTTAGAAGAAATGATAATAACTAATATTTAGTTTTTAGGCAATTTTTTAAACAGTGAAAAGACGATGTGTAAGTGAACTTTGCTAATCTCTGGACTGATAAGCAATTGTCTCAAGAGACTATTTCTGTAATAGAAGTGTGTTACTTGACTCTCGAAATGGGAGAAAGAACTGTGAAGATATTACTTGTGAATTTTGAAATATAAGTATTTCATTTCAACAATTGATTTGTGTATTTATTTATGATGAAGCGGACGGCATACTTAGCAATGTTCTTGAATTTAAAATAATCGCACTATCTTTTCTAGAGTTAATATGTGTAGAACATATATGAAACTAACAGTACTAAAAACGTGCTGGTGTTGCTTTCACACTCACACTTCAAGCCAGTCACACCACAAATACAATACTGAACCAACTAAAAAGAAAGATTATTTACAAAATAATCAGTTACAATTCACAAGTTTTATGTTAGATTTCTTTCATTAATAGGAATGCTTTAATTGCATATTATTTGTCCTTTATCTATTCTATATAAATATTATATTTGTCACTTCGTATATTATCCTATTTCGTATATTTCTCTTGGGGTTAACCTCCATCTCCAACTCTGCCTTACTTTCCGTTCGTCGTTGGAGTTCCATTTCATTCCTTTAACCTCTTTCCGATCTTTACTTTCTGCAATTAATTGATGGATAAAATAAGTCAAAGAACCCGAATTGTGAAATGTATTCAGAAATTATCAGTGTAAAAAGTAGTAATCAGAAAGAGAACAGCCATTCGTATCAGTTAATACAGAGATAAATAGAGCTCACAATTCATTGTAATCTCTGTAACAAATAGGTGACGTTTCAGCGATAATATTTTTCACAAAAAGACTCAGTGTCCCTCTTATCGGAGATGTGTCATCCACTGCGATACGCTCCATTTAGGAGAGATGCTTCAAGGCAAAATAACTAAAAAATACGAGCAATTTTCTGTAACTACGAATACTGAGGGATCATTAATACGAGTTGCAATGAAACGTCGTATCACTTCAGCATTTTAGGATAATATCAGTTCTTCCATTAGTTACAGAAATGTTCGATTCGTAAAATTATTTGCGTCATGTCGTCTTAATAGTTTTTTTTTCTCAATATTTAATTTTATCGAGAATAGTGTATTTTATCCTTTAAATATATAAGTATTTACACTTTTTAATGCAAACTAATTTGGATAATACATTTGTAATACACATTTCTACAATTTATATCTGGCTTGGTCTATTATTTGCTGATAAATCGTTTAAAAAGTAACGGTATTAGCAACAACAATTTTTGGGTTTAAACATATTAGCACATATGCCTGGTGTTAATTGACAGATTTACTATTATCAACATTTGACATTTTCTGCATTTTCTCTTGCATGTTCTCTTTATATTTTTTCCCTTTTATTTTTTCTCGTATTTTCCTCACACTTAAGCTATATTTTTACCTTTCATAACCACCCCAAACTTCTTCATCCTTATATTCAAACATTCAAAACGCTTGTTTTGTTTTTCTTTTTTAATGGCATGAATTTTGTTAAGGAAAGACATGTAGTAGGAAGAGCGAGTGTTCCAAATGGAGGAATAAATAAAGCACGCATGAGTTTCGAAAGAGTAAATAAACTAATAGTTCTACAACAGTACATACTAGAACTGCTAAATTGTTGCTATTTTTGAAAATTCAGAGAGTTTACTGGAAACGAGAGTAGTACCACAGTTTTATTGATTTTTAATACAAACGAGGAGAAAATTTCAAGTAAAAATTTGGAGCAGTTTTTGAGATTAATTTGTTTAAAATAAATTAAAAATCGCCTATATCACATAAAATTACGCTAAAACTACTCAAATACTAAAACATTTTCAAAAATTGTACAAATTGTACACGAATTTATTTAAAGGACAGATATTATTAAGAAACAAGTTATCTTCAATATTCCAGCTGTAGAAAGACGGCGAAAAAAAAATTATGCAAAGTTCGAATAATCAGAGATTTCAATAAAAATGAGAACCGCTAACAAGAGAGAAAGTTCAATTAAAATATTTAGAGCCATTTTTGAGAAATGTTAGAAAATTTAGGCCTTAGGATGCCTTAGCCTTGGATAGCCTTAGGATGGGAGAATGTGCGTGGATGCAGAGTGGCGGACACGGGCGGGGTGCGGAGAGAGGGGCGGGGGGATCAATATGGGCAGTGGATCGGATGGGATCGGATCGGGAGCGTGCCTTAGGATCGGGTGAGCAAGCGCGTGGGCGCAGAGTGGCGGGTGGAGCGCGGCATAGGAGGTGGGCGGGGTGGATCAGG